GGCCACTCAAATAGGTTTTCCTGCATGTTTGGCCACTCAAATAGGTTCTCCTGCATGTTTGGCCACTCCAATAGGTTTTCCTGCATGTTTGGCCACTCAAATATTGCGCTCCAACAAATCCCCCAAATATTGAGCGCCCTTTGTTTCGATCGAGCGCTGGGGCATAGAAGCCCACGTTGTGTTCGAAGTCCGCCAATAGAACTGCGATAGAGGGCTGATCAACATTGACGGCTTCCAGTAAATTTGCCGTTTCGGTGAGTAACCATTTGCATATGACATGCATGTAGATTTGGACCATGATCCTCAATGGCTCTGAGTATGTTCGCCTTGTTTCAGCCAGTGTAAGGCAACGACCTCCACCAGGCTGTGACCCTGCGGATTGAAAGCCACCCCCGCATCTGCGAACAACTTCCCAAACCCGGAAGTTTGTTCAGTTGTCTTGGTAGTTCAACATGTTACATCAACTTGAACTGGTCTGCCACTGCCATGCCAAATGGGCACACTCCCTCCCTTCTTTGACCCCCATCCCCACCCTGCACTGTACATCTTCAGGTCGTTAGAGAAGAAACTCTCCGTGGGAGTGTTGACCTGAGGCCGCAGGGCATCTGTGAAAGGTATTTGTACTCTCAGGTGTCATGAGAAGACATGAAACGCTCTGCCAAGTGGCAAAAGCGCCAATGAGGGTTATGTTCCAGGGGTCACCAAGGGGTAGTGTTTAGTCCCTAAGCTAAGTGAGTGGATCATGGGCAACCCTATCCTCCAGTAGGCACCCCTCTGTGACTCCTCATTGTTTATTTTTGCCCACTAGATCCTTTTCCCCAGGCTCAGGTAGTGATCCTAGTGATCGCAATTAATGCCTTGGCTGGACTCGTGAGTCCACAAGCCCCTTCACCTCGTTCGACATCTGGCCACAAACTCCATGAGACCTTGAACCGCCAACAACCCAAATGAGACCTTGGGTCCTGCGTGCAGCGTTGGGTCCTGATGTGTGTTTGTTGGTTGTTCTGCCTCTTTTTTGACGATGTCTTCTGCAGACCCCACATGACAATGCCTGTTTTCTTTGCCAAAGAGGGTTCATGAATAGGTTCTGGTGAAATCATCGCTGGCTGCCGCAATATTCGAAAGTTAGTGATGTCTTCCATTTTAAAGGGACTGAAGAAGTCCCACAGGAACATCACAAGTGAAGCACTCCCTTCTTGAAAGCCCGCACCACATTTTGGGCGTGTTTTTGGCGTGTCTCAAAATGGAAGGACCACTCGGACAACCAGCAACAACTTCTCTCTTGAGACATCTCTTAGGTGTTTCACCAGCCAGCCCAGCCCTTCACCAAAAGCCTCTGGGTAGGTGTTCTTCCGTTGTGACTGGGGGCCCCTCACGTGCAGCTCCATCCAACCTGTTTCCTCAGCTTGTCAAGAGAGATACCGATCCGAACTCCAAGACCAAGACCCAGGGAGGGACGGTGAGAAGTTGGATTTTGGTTGGATGGATGGTTCACAACCATTCACAACCCCAATCTTCGCAATCCATGTGGAGCCCACATGAAACGCATGCCTCATCTGGAGGATTGTTGTTCAAGGTTTCAATTGAAGACTTGGAGGGTTCTGGTGTTTGAAAGAAACGCATGTATAAATGAGATCTATCCAAAGAAATAGAATTCCGGAAAGCAGAAGCGGTCTCCAACCAATCCAAAGGGGGACAATGGAAGCAGAAATCCCGGAACTCTAACAACTGCAAAGCCAAGCAGAGCCCTTTGAGGCCTCAACATGGGACTGAATGAAGCAAGCCCTAGCGAAACAACAAAAAACCTCTGGTTTTTGGGAGCATCAAAGATCAAGGCCATCTGGAGCATCAAGCTCACTGGATCCACCCACCATGGATGATCTAGATGTGGAACCTCTTCCCCATGTCCCTCCCCCCCATTTCGGTCCAGGCACGTTCAGCCGATCCGCCAGTGTGGCCCATGCCGGTGACTTGGAGGCCTTGAACCGGTGGAGCCGGGGCGGTGGTTGGACGGCGAGGAGCGAGGGTGCGAGGTGTCCCCCCATGCGGAAGTCGACGGAATCGTGCGGAGGGCGCGAGCAGCGAGGTCAATTGGGCTCCAAACATAGCAAAAGCGGAAAGCAACAGCAACAACAACAACAACAACAAGAACAAGAACAAGAACAGAACGAGGCACAAACAAAAACTGCAGCCCCGTTACGGGATATCTTGTTCCTTTGTCTCTACAAGGGGTGGAAACAAAATCTGCAGCCCCGCCGTTGTTATTTTGACCCTCCCCCCGAAAACAACCAGCCAACATGTACTTTTACCAGTCACAAGACACTTTCTGAAAAAAACGCCAACAAAACGGGCACTGCTTTGTTTATTCAAACACCGCCTGAACCAAAACACGGGCCGGTCTCCGGCGGTAATCTCCTCTTAATTGACTCTCTTGCACTAAGACTCTCTCTCTCCCTCTCTGATTCTCTTTCTTCTTTCATTTCTCTCCCTCCCTCTCCCTCTCTCACTTCTTCACAAGACGCAACGTGGCCTCAGTGGCCGAATTCTGTCTCTTCGACCGTCGGAGTGCCTCATTCCGAAGTAAGGCTTGTGGGTTGGGGTTGCAGTCAGTTTTCCTAGTCTCCACCACTCCACGAAACGTCCACGAACGGCCCCGGTTTCCACAAATGTCATGAACCTTCCACGTTTCAGTGTAATAGGTTTTGCAAACTTCTTTCTGGACGCTACCCTTCCCTTTGCCTTTGACTGGCACATTAAAAGCCTTTCGTCGCTGCGCGCGACATCTTTTTCACTCCGAGTTGGCGTCGGAGGTGTGCCAGCTGCTGGACTTGGAGCTGGAGCTGCAGTCGTCTCGGGCATCCTCCACGTCCGAGTGTCCGCAGGACTTGTGCCAGAACGCCCGAAGGTCCTGCAGCTCCGCCTGATGGAGGGGCGGAAACATCAAAGGAGCAACTCCGGAGCGGAAAGTTTTGGCAATGCCCATCGTTGAATGAGTATTCATTTCAGCTTCACACAGCCGGAACTATCGAAGTCGGCCTCCAAACATTTGAAATAATTCTCCTTGGGCGCTCAACTTTCGACTCCACTTCTGGCCTTCTGGTTTGCCACGTCCTCCTTTAAGGCCTGGGACATGGCCTTGGCAGCAGCTAGCTCCTTGCGGGCGCTTGGAGAGTTTTTCAAAGCAAAACAATTGCGCACGCTTGGCTTTATCTAGTTTAATGGCTTGGAGGCCCAATTTTGAAGTACGTAGGTGACGCGTCAATGCTGGACAGCGCTAGGTTGTCTCCATTGATAGGCTGCTTGGTGTGTCAAGGCACAGGCCTGCCTTGAATCTTGAACAGAAGAAGTCATTTGTCAAGCCACGAAAACAAAAGTTGACATCCGCGTGTTCAACTACGGTCAACGCTTTTTAACCTTGTACATGGCAGCGCTCCTGTTGCCAAACTCAATTCTATATGTTTCGTTGATTTGTCCTTCTCCGTCACCGCCAACTTTCGTCAGAGCTGCGACTTGGTCGTAGACCCCGACGACGAAGAAGACGACGCCTGCAGAAGCGTGCGCTGGGCACATGGTAGCTCAGAGCAATGGCTTCCCCTGATCGCGAGCAAGGTTTGTGCGCGGGGCTCTCCCTCCGCAGCTTCACTGTACCAAAAAAACTCATTCCACCCGCAAAACCTGCAAGTCTTCCAACGGTTGAAAAAATGAGTCAGAGAAAGAGGACATTGAAATTTTCGGCTTGGCAATGGCTTCCCCTGGTCGCGAGCAACGTTTTCCCCTTCCATTCCGAAAGCCCTGCAACAACCTGCAAGCCTTCCAATATGAAAAATTATCAAGGTAAGAGACTTTTGAAATTTCCGGCTTTGCTCCACGCCACCAACGAACCACAGAGAGGGTATACTTGTATAAACCCTGTCTCCGCCTTTTCACTGTCCACAGTGACCACGCGCCTTGGCGCCATGTGGCCTATTCGGAATGGTTGCGAATTTATTTCTGGATTTTTTTCGTTTTTTTTGGTGCTTTTTTTGTTTTTCGTGTTTCGTGGCAGGTGCAATACTTTGTGGACCTTGCAAAGCACATTTCGTGGCAGGTGCAGGACTTTGTGGGCCTTGGAGTGCAGAGTTTGTGGCAGGCGCAGGACTTTTTGTGGGCCTTGAAGTGGCACGCGTAGTACTTTGTGGCCCTTGGAGTGCAGATTTTGTGGCAGGCGCAGGACTTTGTGGACCTTGAAGTGCAGATTTCGTGGCAGATGCAGGACTTTGTGGGCGTGGAAGTGTAGAGTTGGTGGCAGGTGCAGGACTTTGTGGGCCTTGGAGTGCAGATTTCGTGGCAGGCGCAAGACTTTGTGGACCTTGAAGTGCAGATTTCGTGGCAGGTGCAGTACTTTGTGGATGT